AACTTTCATCAATGACATATATCCAACACACAGGGGCTCTTTCTTTGTTATGGGCAGCCCCCCTGCCTTGCCGCACTGGAGTCCTTGGTTCAGTTCCTTGGCAGGACACTGGAGTTACATGTTCTCCCTGTGCCTGTGTGTCTTTCCAATTTCCTCCCACGCTCCAAACACATGCTGGTAGGTTGATTGGCTCCTGTCTAAGTTGACCCCACCCCTTTCCTGAAAAATCCCAGCCCATTCCCTATGGCGTTGCACTAACGTCAAACTGCTGCTGTGACATCATCTCTAGGCAGAGCAAACGTACGAACTAGCGGCTCACTTCCTGTCCATCGGAGCGCCATTCCCATGCGTTATCTTTGTGGTGGGAGGTTAGGAATCTGCAAAATATCAAAATCTGTATGAAATAATGGCAAATTGCTGAAAACAAGATTTCCTACAAATAGACGGTCAATGTAGATCTCCTGACACCGTCTGCTTACCGCGGTGTCACCTTTTTTTTTTTCCCCCCTTAGAGAGTCGGCGGAGCGCGAACTGACTTTTCTGGGGTTCCTGGTCATGAGAACGTTCTGAAACCGGAGACGTCGCCCGTCATCTACTCCCTGAGAAAAGCCAACATCCGCACCGTCATGGTGACCGGTCGGTGTCATTATGGGATGTCCCATCTTTTTTATAAACCCAGAAATATCCTTGCAGAATGGAGCTGAGACATTTTTTTTTTTTTTTTTTTTTTTAGGTGACAACATGTTGACCGCTGTGAACGTCGCCAAGAGCTGCCATCTCGTGGAGCTGACGGAAAAAGTTTTCTTCGTGAACGCCTCTCCACCCACTTACAACAGCTCCGCGACCCTGAAATTCATCCCGTCCGAGCCAGTGGCGGGGGAGGAGAACAGAGAGGTGAGTGTCCCGTGGGTCTGTTCCCCGCAGTGTGCACCAATGCTAATGCCAGGCCTCACGCAGCTGCCAGGAGTGTGTGTAAACCTGATAAATGGAAGTGATCCCATGGCTGTGCAGCCACCTGATCGCTTTCATACACCCCTATATATGTTGGTCCCCCCCTTCCACCTCTGTGTGTGTGCCCCTACCATATTTCCCCAACTCTACTCGTTCATCGGCAGACCCAGGAACAGCATGGAGGATGCTGCCGGGTAGAAAGGAGGGAGATCGGTGAATGTCCATTTGCTGATCTCCGCTTCCTGCTAAAGACTTGGATGTTTGTGTAAAACATCACTTCTGGGTCTTGCTGTCGATTCTCTCCAGCTAGTATGGCTGGGGAAGGCACTATCTGCACTCCATTAGTTTCATTACAGGGCAGAGGAGACATCAGGGGTCTTTTAGACCCCTGATATCTCTTTGGAGAGAACCTGCCACAAAAATATTTTCTGTTTCATAAACTGTTAATATCGTGTGACATAAAAAATTGGAGCTACCGCTATTTTATTGTCCAGGACAGGGCTTAAAATTTTGAGTCTAGACCTGCTAGCCAGGCACAAACCTTACTCTCCACCAGTTGCCCCAGCCAACCTTGCCCAGGTCCGCCTCCAACACCACTCCTGGCCCGTCCCCCAACCCTGCCTGCCTCCAACCATGCCCCCTTAAAGCCACGCCCTTATATATAGGGCAGCACAGTGGCTAAATGGTTAGTACTTCTGCCTGGCAGTACTCGGGTCTTCGGTTCAAATCCCAACCACAGCACCACCTGCCTGGAGTTTGCATGTCCTCCCTGTGCCTGCGTGGGTTTCCTCCGGGTACTCCGGTTTCCTCCCACACTCCATAGACATGCTGGGAGGTGAATTGGCTCCTGTCTAAATTGTCCCTAGTATGTGTATGTATGAATGTGAGTTAGGGACCTTAGATTGTACGCTCCTCGGGGGGGGGGCCTGATGTGAATGTACAATATATATATATGTATGAATGGGAGTTAGGGACCTTAGATTGTACGCTCCTCGGGGCGGGGGACTGATGTGAATGTACAATATATATAGAAAGTAAGGATGGGGGGGGGGGGGGGACTGTGATGTAAGGTAGGGTGGGGGACTCTTGACATATGATGGAAGGGGAAGGGGGGGGGGGGGGGGGTCTATGGACAGCCAGCCCTTTGAGGGCAACCATAATGCTGATGAACTTGAGTTTGACACCCCTGTCCTTGGTGAGATTGGCTGAGGCCATCTTTCTGCAGCTAATCTCTATGCCCAGCCGCCGCCGCGATCTCATTTAGATTCCTGGATAAAATAAAATGTTTTGGGGGTCTCCTCTGTCTCCACGCAGGGGGGCTGTACCAACAAGGAGGGGCGTTCCTGGACCGCGGGCCGTTCTGCTTCGCCATGAATGGGAAATCGTTTGCTGCTCTGACTGATTACTTCCCCGACATGCTGCCCAAGGTGAGTCCTTCCTGAAGCTCATTGTCCTCCTGGAATCGGCATCCCTCTTTGGGGTACATTGTAGCAGTTTTCTGTCTTTGTTTATATTCTGTTTTCTTTATATTCCCTTTTTATTATTACTGCAGGTTGTATGAAGTGTTTCTCCTCGAAGCTAGACTCCAGTAAATGCCGTTATGTATTGATTGAAATATTCAAATGCATTTTTAAAGGGCTTGTAAAGTTCATTTTTTTTTTGTTAGAATAGATTACACTTTCCTGCCCCAAACCTCCTCTTTTGGGGTCGCCCGTCGGTGCTCTTGGATCCTCCTCTTCTGGGATCGCCCTTCGGTGCTCTTGGATCCTCCTCTTATGGGATTGCCTGTCGGTGCTCTTGGATCCTCCTCTTCTGGGATCGCCCGTTGGTGGTCTTGGATCCTCCTCTTCTGGGATCGCCCGTCGGTGCTCTTGGATCCTCCTCTTCTGGGATCGCCCGTCGGTGCTCTTGGATCCTCCTCTTCCGGGATCGCCCGTCGGTGTGCTCTTGGATCCTCCTCTTCCGGGATTGCCCGTCGGTGCTCTTGGATCCTCCTCTTCCGGGATTGCCCGTCGGTGCTCTTGGATCCTCCTCTTCCGGGATCGCCCGTCGGTGCTCTTGGATCCTCCTCTTCCGGGATCGCCCGTCGGTGCTCTTGGATCCTCCTCTTCTGGGATCGCCCTTCGGTGCTCTTGGATCCTCCTCTTTGGGATTGCCTGTCCTCTTGGATCCTCCTCTTCTGGGATCGCCCGTTGGTGGTCTTGGATCCTCCTCTTCTGGGATCGCCCGTCGGTGCTCTTGGATCCTCCTCTTCTGGGATCGCCCGTCGGTGCTCTTGGATCCTCCTCTTCCGGGATCGCCCGTCGGTGCTCTTGGATCCTCCTCTTCCGGGATTGCCCGTCGGTGCTCTTGGATCCTCCTCTTCCAAGATCGCCCGTCGGTGCTCTTGGATCCTCTCTTCCTCTTCCGGGATCGCCCGTCGGTGCTCTTGGATCCTCCTCTTCTGGGATCGCCCTTCGGTGCTCTTGGATCCTCCTCTTATGGGATTGCCTGTCGGTGCTCTTGGATCCTCTCTTCTGGGATCGCCCGTCGGTGGTCTTGGATCCTCTCCTCTTCTGGGATCGCCCGTCGGTGCTCTTGGATCCTCCTCTTCCGGGATCGCCCGTCGGTGCTCTTGGATCCTCCTCTTCCGGGAATCGCCCGTCGGTGCTCTTGGATCCTCCTCTTCCGGGATCGCCCGTCGGTGCTCTTGGATCCTCCTCTTCCGGGATCGCCCGTCGGTGCTCTTGGATCCTCCTCTTCCGGGATCGCCCGTCGGTGCTCTTGGATCCTCCTCTTCCGGGATCGCCCGTCGGTGCTCTTGGATCCTCCTCTTCCGGGATCGCCCGTCGGTGCTCTTGGATCCTCCTCTTCCGGGATCGCCCGTCGGTGCTCTTGGATCCTCCTCTTCTGGGATCGCCCGTCGGTGCTCTTGGATCCTCCTCTTCTGGAATCGCCTGTCGGTGCTCTTGGATCCTCCTCTTCTGGAATCGCCTGTCGGTGCTCTTGGATCCTCCTTTTCCGGGATCGCCCGTCGGTTGCTTCCTATGGGGCTACTTGTGCAGGCTTGCTTCCAAGCTGGGCTGTGTGTGTCCATAGACACACACTGCATGGCTCAGCCCAGCCCCCCGTTCCCACCTCACAGGGTTTGATTGACAACAGCGGGAGCCAATGGCTCTGTGTTCTGTGAATGCAAGGGAGAGCCGCTGTGAGCACAGCGCTGGATTGGCGCGCGCAGGTAAGTGTAAGGGAAGGTGTGGAGATGATACAAATACTGGGGAATTTTGTATCGAATAAATGCCCTGGCTTTAGAACCACTTTAAGCTGAAGTTTAATCTGCGTATATTTTGCCCCCCTCCCCCTATAATTATGATAATGACATATAAATGAAAAACAAAAACATTTTATTTTCATTACATACCTTATTTTAGACCCAACACTGGGTCTCTGTGCTTATCTATGCACAAAGACCCAGAGAAACATCACAGCAACCCGCCTCAGTACTCCTCTCAAGGCCCCCTCGGTCCTGATTCAAACAGTGGGAGGAGTTAAGCCAATGGGTGTTCATAGGCAGACTACATTTGTATGCAGACCACCTGCATGTGCAACTTCTATAAATGAAAGGACTGGAATCCAAGAGATGAAAGGGGTGGGGCCAGTGACAGTCCGGCTGAGGAGGAAAGGGCTAGATGATGCTGGATATCCTCCAGCCAGGAAATTAAGTGGACTCTGTCTGACTTGCTGCAGATTCTAATACACATTGTGTTTCCTCCGGGTACTCCCGGTTTCCTCCCACACTCAAAAGACCTGCTGGGAGGTTAATTGGCTCCTGTCTAAATTGTATGTGTATGGATGAATGGGACCTTAGATTTTACAGATAGACTCCGGGTCAAAGGTTAAACACAACATTGTTGGATGGAGTTGCTTTTGAGCTCCTTTTTTTTATTTCAGAAAGACGTTTGGACCTCCAGGTGGACATTGTTGCCGTGAAACCTGAATTCAGTAGAGGAACCCTCCTTTCACGGCAGTCATCCTGATCCTCCTCTTCTTTTCTCAATTTTTAGGTGCTTATGAACGCTGCAGTCTTCGCCCGAATGTCTCCCGACCAGAAAACTCAGCTGGTGCAAAACTTCCGAGATCTGGGGTGAGTGAGCGCCGGGCCCCATATAGAGTGAGAAGCCACAAGGAAGCCGGGGAGGCCTATAAGTCCTGTAGATGGAATCCACCAATTCTCCTCAAAAAAAAAAAAAAAAAAGACCAGCTATGCAAAGAAATAACTCCGGTTTATTATACATTCCAGCCTTTTCTCAACCAGGGTGCCTTGAGGTTTCTTCAAAGGTGCCATGAGGTTTTCTTCAGGGGTGCCTTGAGGTTTCTTCAAAGGTGCCGTGAGGTTTCATCAGGGTGCCTTGAGGTTTCTTCAGAGGTGCCTTGAGGTTCTCTTCAGGGGTGCCTTGAGGTCTCTTCTGGGGTGCCCTGAGGTTTCTTCAGGGGTGCCTTGAGGTTTCTTCAGAGGTGCCTTGAGGTTTCTTTAGAGGTGCCTGAGGTTTCATCAGAGGTGCCGTGAGGTTTCTTCAGGGGTGCCTTGAGGTTTCTTCAGGGGTGCCTGTGAGGTTTCTTCAGGGGTGCCGTGAGGTTTCATCAGGGGTGCCTTGAGTTTTCTTCAGGGGTGCCTTGAGGTTTCTTCTGGGGTGCCTTGAGGTCTATTCAGAGGTGCCATGAGGTTTCTTCAGGGGTGCCTTGAGGTTTCTTCAGGGTTGCCATTGAGGTTTCTTCAGGGTTGCCATGAGGTTTCTTCAGTGGTGCCTTGAGGTTTCTTCAGTGGTGCCTTGAGGTTTCTTCAGGGGTGCCTTGAGGTTTCTTCAGGGGTGACTTGAGGTTTCTTCAGGGGTGCCTTGAGGTTTCTTCAGGGGTGCCTTGAGGTTTCTTCAGGGTGGGTGCCTTGAGGTTTCTTCAGGGTTGCCTTGAGGTTTCTTCAGGGGTGCCTTGAGGTTTCTTCAGGGGTGCCTTGAGGTTTCTTCAGGGGTGCTTGAGGTTTCTTCAGGGTGCCATGAGGTTTCTTCAGGGGTGCCTTGAGGTTTCTTCAGGGGTGCCTTGAGGTTTCTTCAGGGGTGCCTTGAGGTTTCTTCAGGGTGCCTTGAGGCCTCAGGGGTGCCGTTGAGGTTTCTTCAGGGTGCCTTGAGGTTTCTTCAGGGGTGCCTTGAGGTTTCTTCAGGGGTGCCTTGAGGTTTCTTCAGGGGTGCCTTGAGGTTTCTTCAGGGGTGCCTTGAGGTTTCTTCAGGGGTGCCTTGAGGTTTCTTCAGGGTTCATGAGGGGGTTGCCATGAGGTTTCTTCAGGGGTGCCTTGAGGTTTCTTCAGGGGTGCCTTGAGGTTTCTTCAGGGGTGCCTTGAGGTTTCTTCAGGGGTGCCTTGAGGTTTCTTCAGGGGTGCCTTGAGGTTTCTTCAGGGGTGCCTTGAGGTTTCTTCAGGGGTGCCTTGAGGTTTCTTCAGGGGTGCCTTGAGGTTTCTTCAGGGGTGCCATTGAGGTTCTTCTTCAGGGGTGCCTTGAGGTTTCTTCAGAGGTGCCTTGAGGTTTCTTCAGGGGTGCCGTGAGGTTTCTTCAGGGTGTTCTTCATGAGGTTTCTTCAGAGGTGCCTTGAGGTTTCTTCAGGGGTGCCGTGAGGTTTCTTCAGGGGTGCCTTTGAGTTTTTCTTCAGGGGTGCCTTGAGTTTTTCTTCAGGGTTGCCTTGAGGTTTCTTCAGGGTGCCTGGCAAAAAAAAAAAATTGCCCAAAACTTGTATACAAGCCAGCGGGTGGGACAAGCCTGCCACTTAGTTACACAAAGCCACAGGTTTTCATTGGGCACCATTATGACCTTCTAGCCTCCGGCGTCCTGACAACCAATGACATCATCAGTTGATAAGGAGGATGTCCGCTGCCTGCACAGCATCCTAGTTTGACCCCCAAGTGTCAGCCGTTCTTTATATTGTAGCGATCTTTGTATGATGATACAATAAAATGATGTTTTATAATAATATTTGTCATTGGAAGTCAAGGAATTGCTTAAAAAGTCCCAAATGGAAATTTTTTTTAATTTCCTAATAGACGGTTTATAATATATTCCATCTTTGGGGACCATTTGCCTTCCTGTGGTTGTATTCTCGATATGTGTTGAGTGTATTTCTGCATTTTCTGGGTGGGGCTGGCTCTCTGCAGTGACCTACGTATAGATATTTTTGTGGATAAATGAGTTCTCATTCTCCTGTATACAGCTACTGTGTGGGGATGTGCGGAGACGGAGCCAATGACTGCGGGGCTCTGAAGGCTGCCGATGTCGGGATCTCTCTATCGGACAGCGAGGCCTCCGTCGCCTCTCCATTCACCTCCAAAATCAACAACGTCGAGTGCGTGCCCATCGTCATCCGGTCAGTGGGAGGCGCTCTGGAATGTTTCATTTTGCTCGCTCTGTATATCTTCAATCCAATTGTTGATATAATAATGATCACAAGAAAATGTGTGCACCTCCATGAATGGGTGCAGGGCATTGGAGGATAAGACCTGGAGGACTGGGGACCTATACTGGAGGTGTGGGGTATTGACAATGGTAAAGGTGTGTTCCAGAAGTGGAGGAGGGGAATGGTCTAGACGTGGGGGGCTTTTTCTGTAGGTGGTGGCATGTTTCTGAGTTTGGGGGGTATTGGGAATGATGGAGGCAAGTTCCATCGGGGGTTGGAGGAGACTTGTTCCAATGATGAGGGGATCAAGGACAATGAAATAGAATTTTAGAGAGTGGGGGGAATGAGGGAGGTTGGAGGGGGTGTTCTGGATTTCAAGGAATCGGGGACAGGAGGGATATTGAAAATGGTCAAGGCGTGTTCCAGAAGTGGGGGAGATGGATGCTACAGAGGCGGAGGTTTTTTTTGTGGGTGGGCAAGAACGGTGATGGTGGATGCATGTCTCCAAAGTTGGGGGCATTGGAAATGATGGGTGTTCTGGAGGAAGGGACATTGAGGATGGTGGAAGTTGTTCCAGAAGTAGAGAAGTGTTCTGGATTGAGGGAGGGGGGTCAGGACAGTGGAGGATGAGGAATCTGATCCAGGTGTAGAGGAATGTTCTGTTCTGGAATATTGGGAGGGATCAACAGTGGAGATGTGTTCTGGAGGAGGGGACATTGAGGATGGTGGAGCTTGTTCCAGATGGAGAGGAGTGTTCAGCAATAGGGGTGGAGGGGACATCAGGACAATGGAGGGTGTTCTGGAGTAAGGGCCATTGAGGATGGGGTAACTTGTTCCAGATGTAGAGGAATGTTCTGGAGTGGGGGGTGGGGGGCAGTGGAGGTTTGTTCTGGAGGAAGGGACATTGAGGTTGGTAGAACGTGTTCTAGATATAGGGGAGAGTTCTGGAGTTGGGAGGGATCAGGACAGTGGAGGGTTGTTCTGGAGGAAGGGATATTGAGGTTGCTAGAACTTGTTCCAGATATAAGGGAGGGTTCTGGAGTTGGGAGGGATCAGGACAGTGGAGGGTTGTTCTGGAGGAAGGGACATTTAGTATGGTAGAACTTGTTCTAGATATAGGGGAGAGTTCTGGAGTTGGGAGGGATCAGGACAGTGGAGGGTTGTTCTGGAGGAAGGGATATTGAGGTTAGTAGAACTTGTTCCAGCTATAAGGGAGGGTTCTGGAGTTGGGAGGGATCAGGACAGTGGAGGGTTGTTCTGGAGGAAGGGACATTTAGTATGGTAGAACTTGTTCTAGATATAGGGGAGAGTTCTGGAGTTGGGAGGGATCAGTTCTAGATATAGGGGAGAGTTCTGGAGTTTGGGAGGGATCAGGACAGTGGAGGGTTGTTCTGGAGGAAGGGATATTGAGGTTGGTAGAAGTTGTTCCAGATATAGGGGGGGTTCTGGAGTTTGGAGGATTCAGGGACAGTGGAGGGTTGTTCTGGAGGAAGGGATATTGAGGTTGGTAGAAGTTGTTCCAGATATAGGGGGGGGGGGGGGGGGTTCTGGAGTTTGGAGGATTCAGGGACAGTGGAGGGTTGTTCTGGAGGAAGGGATATTGAGGTTGCTAGAACTTGTTCCAGATATAGGGGGGGGTTCTGGAGTTTGGAGGATTCAGGGACAGTGGAGAGGTTTTTCGAGGTTGTGGTGTATTGGAGACTCTGGGAGGAGAGTGGAAGCGCCATGTTGTGGAAATGACCAATGAGTGTTCTATGGCGGCAAAGAAGTTAGGTGGGATTATCTGTATTAGGCCAAAATTCAGGACTGGAGGCAGAATTCCCGCAAAGAAACCAAAACTGACAATCTTTGGTTCCGCAGGGAAGGCCGCTGCTCGCTGGAAACCTCGTTTGAGACGTTCAAATACATGGCAATGTACAGCCTGACCCAGTACATCACTGTCCTCCTCCTGTACACGGTGAGTGGTGGGGGGAGACGTGTACTCATGTTTGTCATTTTATTGTGTGTGTTCCGATCTCGGATCTGAGTGTTTCCTGAATTTCTGGATGTTGTGAAATGTATGTGGTCTCCTCTGACCGTCTGTCAATATAAATGTTTGTGGTCTCACCAGGTGGACACTAATCTGGGCGACTTCCAGTTCCTCCTGTTTGATCTGGTTATCACCACCACGGTGGCCATCCTGATGGGCAGAACCGGCCCGGCTAGTGAGCTGGGGATAAAGCGCCCGCTTGGCACTCTGATCAGTATTCCAGTCCTGGGGAGCTTGATATGTCAAACCCTGCTCATCCTTCTCATTCTGCTGCTCTCCTACTTCCTGACCACATCGCAGCCCTGGTAAGAGAAAAACCTTCCTCTCCGGGGTCCAGGAGAGGGGTACTATGTGTATGGGCCTAAAAGATATGTCATCATAGATCAGCTCACTGTGTATGGGCCTAGAACATAAGTCTTCTTAGATCAGGTCACTGCAAATGGCCCTAGAAGATAAGTCATAGATCTGGTCACCTTGTATGGTCCTAGAAGGTAGGTCATCACAGATCAGGTCACCTTGTATGGCCCTAGAAAAATAAGTCATAGATCATGTCACTGCGTATGTGCCTAGAAGATAGGTCATCATATATCAGGTCACCTTGTATGGTCCTAGAAGATAGGTCATCACAGATCAGGTCACCTTGTATGGTCCTAGAAGATAGGTCATCATACATCAGGTCACTGGATATGGTCCTAAAAGATAGGTCATTATAGATCAGGTCATTGTGTATGGTCCTAGAAGATAGGTCATCATAGATCAGGTCACTGGATATGGTCCTAAAGATAGTCATCATAGATCAGGTCACCTTTTATGGTCCTAGAAGATAAGTCATAGATCAGGCCCCTGTGTATGGTCCTAGAAGATAGGTCATCACAGATCAGGTCACCTTGTATGGTCCTAGAAGATAGGTCATCATAGATCAGGTCACTGGATATGGTCCTAAAAGATAGGTCATCATAGATCAGGTCACCTTTTATGGTCCTAGAAGATAAGTCATAGATCAGGTCGCTGTGTATGGTCCTAGAAGATAAGTCATCATAAATCAGGTCACTGTGTATGGTCCTAGAAGATAGGTCATCATAGATCAAGTCACTGTGTATGGTCCTAGAAGATAAGTCATCATAGATCAGGTCACCGTGTATGGTCCTAGAAGATAGGTCATCATAGATTAGGTCACTGTGTATGGTCCTAGAAGATAGGTCATCGTAGATCAGGTCAGTGTGTATGGTCCTAGAAGATAGGTCATCGTAGATCAGGTCACTGTGTATGGTCCTAGAAGATAAGTCATCATAGATCAGATCACTGTGTATGGTCCTAGAAGATAGGTCATCGTAGATCAAGTCACTGTGTATGGTCCTAGAAGATAAGTCATAGATCAGGTCAGTGTGTATGGTCCTAGAAGATAAGTCATAGATCAGGTCAGTGTGTATGGTCCTAGAAGATAGGTCATCATAGATCAGGTCACTGTGTATGGTCCTAGAAGATAGGTCATCATAGATCAGGTCACTGTGTGTATGGTCCTAGAAGATAGGTCATCATAGATCAGGTCACTGTGTATGGTCCTAGAAGATAGGTCATCATAGATCAGGTCACTGTGTATGGTCCTAGAAGATAGGTCATCATAGATCAGGTCACTGTGTATGGTCCTAGAAGATAGGTCATCATAGATCAGGTCATCTTGTATGGTCCTAGAATATAAGTCATCATAGATCAGGTCACTGTGTATGGTCCTAGAACATAAGTCATAGATCAGGTCACTGGGTATGGTCCTAGAAGATAAGTCATCATAAATCAGGTCACTGTGTATGGTCCTAGAAGATAGGTCATCATAGATCAGATCACTGTGTATGGTCCTAGAAGATAAGTCATCATAGATCAGGTCACCGTGTATGGTCCTAGAAGATAGGTCATCATAGATCAGGTCACTGTGTATGGTCCTAGAAGATAGGTCATCGTAGATCAGGTCAGTGTGTATGGTCCTAGAAGATAGGTCATCGTAGATCAGTCACTGTGTATGGTCCTAGAAGATAGGTCATCATAGATCAGGTCACTGTGTATGGTCCTAGAAGATAAGTCATAGATCAGGTCACTGTGTATGGTCCTAGAAAGATAGGTCATCATAGATCAGGTCACTGTGTATGGTCCTAGAAGATAGGTCATCATAGATCAGGTCACTGTGTATGGTCCTAGAAGATAAGTCATAGATCAGGTCACTGTGTATGGTCCTAGAAGATAGGTCATCATAGATCAGGTCACTGTGTATGGTCCTAGAAGATAGGTCATCATAGATCAGGTCACTGTGTATGGTCCTAGAAGATAGGTCATCATAGATCAGGTCACCTTGTATGGTCCTGGAAGATAGGTCATCATAGATCAGGTCACTGTGTATGGTCCTAGAAGATAGGTCATCGTAGATCAGGTCAGTGTGTATGGTCCTAGAAGATAGGTCATCGTAGATCAAGTCACTGTGTATGGTCTAGAAGATAGGTCATCATAGATCAGGTCACTGTGTATGGTCCTAGAAGATAGGTCATCATAGATCAGGTCACTGTGTATGGTCCTAGAAGATAGGTCATCATAGATCAGGTCATCTTGTATGGTCCTAGAATATAAGTCATCATAGATCAGGTCACTGTGTATGGTCCTAGAACATAAGTCATAGATCAGGTCACTGGGTATGGTCCTAGAAGATAAGTCATCATAAATCAGGTCACTGTGTATGGTCCTAGAAGATAGGTCATCATAAATCAGGTCACTGTGTATGGTCCTAGAAGATAGGTCATCATAGATCAGGTCACTGTGTATGGTCCTAGAAGATAGGTCATCATAGATCAGGTCACCGTGTATGGTCCTAGAAGATAAGTCATCATAGATCAGGTCACCGTGTATGGTCCTAGAAGATAGGTCATCGTAGATCAGGTCACTGTGTATGGTCCTAGAAGATAGGTGTTCATAGATCAGGTCACTGTGTATGGTCCTAGAAGATAGGTCATCATAGATCAGGTCACTGTGTATGGTCCTAGAAGATAGGTCATCATAGATCAGGTCAGTGTGTATGGTCCTAGAAGATAGGTCATCATAGATCAGGTCACTGTGTGTATGGTCCTCTAGAAGATAGGTCATCATAGATCAGGTCACTGTGTATGGTCCTAGAAGATAAGTCATAGATCAGGTCACCTTGTATGGTCCTCGAAGATAGGTCATCATAGATCAGGTCACCTTGTATGGTCCTAGAAGATAGGTCATCATAGATCAGGTCACTGTGTATGGTCCTAGAAGATAAGTCATAGATCAGGTCACCTTGTATGGTCCTCGAAGATAGGTCATCATAGATCAGGTCACCTTGTATGGTCCTAGAAGATAGGTCATCATAGATCAGGTCAGTGTGTATGGTCCTCGAAGATAGGTCATCATAGATCAGGTCACCTTGTATGGTCCTAGAAGATAGGTCATCATAGATCAGGTCAGTGTGTATGGTCCTCGAAGATAGGTCATCATAGATCAGTGTCACCTTGTATGGTCCTGGAAGATACGTTATCCTAGATTTATAGACATTGGGCCGGTGTAAAGGGTAGAAGAGCTAAGAACACATCAAGGCTGCAGATAACACCAATTTATCCTTAGAAAGTAACGTCTCTATAATGTCCGATAGATCAGCCATGCTGAATGTTCCTCCTGTGCCCCTCAGTCCTGTGTGTCAGTAACTGACCTCTCCCCTACAGGTACCACCCAGTTAATACCACCAGCCTGGCACCTCAGCACCTCCCAAACTATGAAAACACGGCCATCTTCTGTGTGTCCGGGTTCCAGTATCTCATTCTCGCCGTCGTCCTATCCAAAGGATATCCTTTCCGGAAGCCTCTGTACACCAACAGTGAGTGACCCCTCTAAAAGTGATCACAAAGTGTCAGGGTGTCATTGTTCTGGGACCCCCCCAAGTGTCAGGGTGTCATTGTTCTGGGACCCCCCCAAGTGTCAGGGTGTCATTGTTCTGGACCCCCAAGTGTCAGGGTGTCATTGTTCTGGGACCCCCCCAAGTGTCAGGGTGTCATTGTTCTGGGACCCCCCCCCCCCCCCCAAGTGTCAGGGTGTCATTGTTCTGGACCCCCCAAGTGTCAGGGTGTCATTGTTCTCTGGACCCCCAAGTGTCAGGGTGCCATTGTTCTAGGACCCCAAGCGTGTCAGGGTGTCATGTTCTGGACCCCCAAGTTTCAGGGTGTCATTGACCCCCCCTCAAGTGTCAATGTGTCATTGTTCTGGGACCCCCCCCCCTCAAGTGTCAATGTGTCATTGTGTTATGGGGACCCCCCCCCCCCCCCCCAAGTGTCAGTGTCATTTGTTATGGGACCCCCCCCAAGTGTCAGTGTGTCATTGTTCTGGGACCCCCCCCAAGTGTCAGTGTGTCATTGTTCTGGGACCCCCCCCAAGTGTCGGTGTGTCATTGTTCTGGAACCCCCCCAAGTGTCAGTGTGTCATTGTTCTGGGACCCCCCCAAGTGTCAGTGTGTCATTGTTCTGGAACCCTCCCCCCCAAGTGTCAGTGTGTCATTGTTCTGGAACCCCCCCCCCCCCAAGTGTCAGTGTGTCATTGTTCTGGGACCCCCCCAAGTGTCAGGGTATCATTGTTCTGGGACCCCCCCAAGTGTCAGTGTGTCATTGTTCTGGAACCCTCCCCCCCAAGTGTCAGTGTGTCATTGTTCTGGACCCCCCCCCCCCCCCAAGTGTCAGTGTGTCATTGTTCTGGGACCCCCCAAGTGTCAGGGTATCATTGTTCTGGGACCCCCCCAAGTGTCAGTGTGTCATTGTTCTTGAACCCTCCCCCCCAAGTGTCAGTGTGTCATTGTTCTGGGACCCCCCCAAGTGTCAGGGTGTCATTGTTCTGGGACCCCCCCCCCACCAAGTGTCAGTGTGTCTTTGTTCTGGACCCCCAAGTGTCAGTGTCATTGTTCTGGGACCCCCCCCCCCCCCCACCAAGTGTCAGTGTGTCTCTGTTCTGGACCCCCAAGTGTCAGGGTGTCATTGTTCTGGGACCCCCCCCCCCCCAAGTGTCAGTGTGTCATTGTTCTGGGACCCCCCCAAGTGTCAGGGTGTCATTGTTCTGGGGACCCCCCCAAGTGTCAGTGTGTCTCTGTTCTGGACCCCCAAGTGTCAGTGTCATTGTTCTGGGACCCCAAGTGTCAGGGTGTCATTGTTCTGGGACCCCCCAAGTGTCAGTGTGTCATTGTTCTGGGACCCCCCCAAGTGTCAGTGTGTCATTGTTCTGGGACCCCCCCAAGTGTCAGGGTGTCTCTGTTCTGGACCCCCAAGTGTCAGTGTCATTGTTCTGGGACCCCAAGTGTCAGTGTCATTGTTCTGGACCCCCAAGTGTCAGTGTCATTGTTCTGGGACCCCCAAGTGTCAGTGTCATTGTTCTGGGACCCCCAAGTGTCAGTGTGTCATTGTTCTGGGACCCCAAGTGTCAGTGTCATTGTTCTGGGACCCCAAGTGTCAGTGTCATTGTTCTGGGACCCCAAGTGTCAGTGTCATTGTTCTGGGACCCCAAGTGTCAGGGTGTCATTGTTCTGGGACCCCCCCCAAGTGTCAGTGTGTTATTGTTCTGGGACCCCCCAAGTGTCATTGTTCTGGGTCCCCCGGTTTTCTCCATTGTCACTGGGACTCCTATTTGTAACAATGTAACGTTTTGTCACGGAGTGTTACTGTGATTTTCCCGCACAGTTCTGTACCTGCTGGCTCTGATCATCCTCCTTGCGATGATGTTGTGGATCACACTCTACCCGCTTCTCTTCATGCGGACAATCCTGGACCTCATGGCCATCGATGATATGAACTTCAAGCTGGTCTTAGTCGGGATCACAGCGGTCAACTTTGTAGCCGCCTTCCTCATTGAGGTACGTCTGCCCCTCCAGTACCCGGGACACCTTCTCATTGGTCAGTGAGTGAGAAGAATGCCTGGGAGGCGGGGGGCTGGGTTGGTCTGTACTTGTCCCCAGAGCTTACAGTCTGTTATACAAGAAATACATTGCATGCAATATTGAATGTAGTGTTTATCCACGCAGCCACTGCAGATCTATCAATGTGTGCTCCTGTACTGCATCACCTGCGTCCACACTGTGCGCATTTTTTAAAAAAACACTTTCCAGTTGAGGTGTAATCATTCCAAGAAAACTGCACTTCCAGGAGTGACCACTAGAGGTGATTCTGAAAGTCGACCAGTAATATTCCAGGCTTCTCATTTGTAGGGAGCTCCAGGGCGGGATTCACGTATACAATATTTGTACTGCCCCAGGCCGGAGTTGTACCGGAGTCTCTGTCCCCGCAGACACCGATCATAGAGATAATGGTCACCTGTATAGAGTGTCTGAAATGTAACACGTGACCCCTCTCCAAGTGACCCCTCTCCAATCTCTTGCAGACCTTCCTGGATCACGGCTATTGCAACTGCTTGCGGAAACTGTGCAGGAAAAAGGAGTCGAAGAAGGCGTACAAGAGATTAGAGCTGCAGCTCCAGGCGCAGCACTCCTGGCCCCCCCTAAATCAGACTTTGTACCCCAGCAGAGCCAAACCATCCAGGTAGCAGCAGATCTGCTGCCCCCTACAAGACTTGTTGCTGCGGACCCCCTTAGTGGGTGCCGGGTCATTACTGACATGTTACTGCTTCCTGGAGAACATCACTGTGATTTGTTTAAACTTTAGATTAAAAAAAAAAACTAAAAAAAAAAAAACTGCACAACTTGAGAGAAGAAAAATACGTTAAGCCAAAAATATGAAGGATAAGAGGTGCTCCTAACACCGGGGCGACTCGGACACGACAACACTGGGTACCTGGGAGACGACAACACTGGGTACCCGGGAGACGACAACACTGGGTACCCGGGAGACGACAACACTGGGTACCCGGGAGACGACAACACTGGGTACCCGGGAGACGACAACACTGGGTACCCGGGAGACGACAACACTGGGTACCCGGGAGACGACAACACTGGGTACCCGGGAGACGACAACACTGGGTACCCGGGAGACGACAACACTGGGTACCCGGGAGACGACAACACTGGGTACCCTGGGAGACGACAACACTGGGAGACGACAACACTGAGGTAACCTGGGAGACGACAACACTGGGTACCCGGGAGAGACGACAACACTGGGTACCCGGGAGACGACAACACTGGGTACCCGGGAGACGACAACACTGGGTACCCGGGAGACGACAACACTGGGTACCTGGGAGGCGACAACACTGGGTACCTGGGAGACGACAACACTGGGTACCTGGGAGACGACAACACTGGGTACCCGGGAGACGACAACACTGGAAACCCGGGAGAAGACCACACTGGCTACCCGGAGAAGACCACACTGGCTACCCGGGAGAAGACCACACTGGCTACCCGGGAGAAGACCACACTGGCTACCCGGGAGAAGACCACACTGGCTACCCGGGAGAAGACCTCACTGGAAACCCGGGAGAAGACAACACTGGCTACCCGGGAGAAGACCACACTGGGTACCCGGGAGAAGACCACACTGGGTACCCGGGAGAAGACCACACTGGGTACCCGGGAGAAGACCACACTGGCTACCCGGGAGAAGACCACACTGGCTACCCGGGAGACGAAAACACTGGGTACCCGGGAGAAGACCACACTGGGTACCCGGGAGAAGACCACACTGGCTACCCGGGAGAAGACCTCACTGGAAACCCGGGAGAAGACAACACTGGCTACCCGGGAGAAGACCACACTGGGTACCCGGGAGACGACAACACTGGGTACCCGGGAGAAGACCACACTGGCTACCCGGGAGACGAAAACACTGGGTACCCGGGAGAAGACCACACTGGGTACCCGGGAGAAGACCACACTGGGTACCCGGGAGAAGACCACACTGGGTACCCGGGAGAAGACCACACTGGGTACCCGGGAGACGACAACACTGGGTACCCGGGAGACGACAACACTGGGTACCCGGGAGAGACAACACTGGGTACCCGGGAGACGACAACACTGGGTACCCGGGAGAGACGACAACACTGGGTACCCGGGAGACGACCACACTGGCTACCCGGGAGACGACCACACTGGCTACCCGGGAGAAGACAACACTGGAAACCCGGGAGAAGACAACACTGGATGTCCAGGGAGAGGACAGCGCCGGGTACCCGGGAGAAGACAACGCTGGAAACCTGGAAAACGACTTGAATTCTAGATGAGGATTGACCTATTTATAAAGGCAGTCGTCCTCCCAGCAGTACAAGGCCTGAGGACCCTCTGTCATGGACTGGTGAAGCTGGTGGTCCCCTACCAGAAGGACAGACCAGAACTTTCAGCTGCAATGGTTTGGCTCGATATACGAAGACCCGCCGGTGTTGGGAACACTTGTGTGCAATAATTTCCTCCATAAACCCTCACTTTCTCCTACGTTGCCTTGGTGTCACCGACTGCTGTGCTCACTGTTTACATTTGTCTGTCACGGCCCTTTAAGTGGGTGTGGTCTCTGTGGTACCGGCCCATCCCCCCCTACACTTGAAGGAAAGATTTCGGCGTGCCTGGCAGATTTTTGTCTAAATAGGTATTTTTTTTGTTACAGAATAAAAAGTTATTAGAGGTTTTTATGTCTTTTTTTTTTCGTACATAAACTTATAAAACAGAGATGAGGCGAAGGTGAGAATTTAAAGGGTAACTCCACTCCAGAATTAATGTCACATATGCCATGGCGACACGAGTCGTATTGGAATTGAATCTTATTAAAAACGACTTTTTAATTTTCAGTCTGTAAATGTACATTTTTTGTAACATGGAGGCAGCCAGCCCAGATAGTGTACAGACTCCACTTCCCCCCCCCCCCCCCCCCCAGAAATGTCATTTCATGCTCGTGCGATTGGCTCACTGATTTTCCCAGAAGTCCGCAATAAGATGCAAGTCAGGGTTTGAGCATCCCCTGCAACAGAAATGCCATTTTTGGTGAGATACTCCCAAAGGGAAATCATGTCTGACGGGATGCAGACCCTGCCGCTTTCCTCAGAGCCCTGCAGGTGCAGCAGCTGATCGGTCATTTAAAAGTTGCTCCCATTCACAGTCACTCTGCACAGGACACAGAGAAACAAACAGATATTTCTGCAGAATAACAATAGGGAGGAATCTGCTACAAAGTTTGTTACAATCCCTGCAACGTATAGAGATCACCTAGGGAAGGGGGGCGGGGTTTGTATTTCCCAGAACAAAAGTGGAGTTACCCTTTAAGATCGAGGAGGTCATGAAGTCCATAGAGCATCATTGCAGGGGGGGTACATTGGGTGCCAAGCGCACTAATCCGGCTTCAACCTCCTCAATTCTGATTGGACAAATCCCAGTTTTTGGAGGAAAAGGACTGAAATGTCGATGTTTTCACTGATAGTCTGTTTGTCAAAGAGACCGACGCCATTTCTTGACCCCCTGAGTGCAGGCCGACCCCCACACTGTCATCTCCGGGCTCCTCCCCCATCACTGTGTCATCTCCGGGCTCCTCCCCCATCACTGTGTCATCTCCGGGCTCCTCCCCCATCACTGTGTCATCTCCGGGCTCCTCCCCTATCACTGTGTCATCTCCGGGCTCCTCCCATCACTGTCATCTCTGGGCTCCTCCCCCTTCACTGTGTCATCTCTGGGCTCCTCCCCCTTCACTGTGTCATCTCCGGGCTCCTCCCCCATCACTGTGTCATCTCTGGGCTCCTTCCCATCACTGTGTCATCTCTGGGCTCCTCCCCATCACTTTGTCATCTCTGGGCTCCTCCCCCATCACTGTGTCATCTCTGGGCTCCTCCCCATCACTGTCATCTCTGGGCTCCTCCCCCATCACTGTCATCTCTGGGCTCCTCCCCCATCACTGTGTTATCTCTGGGCTCCTTCCCATCACTGTGTCATCTCTGGGCTCCTCCCCATCACTGTGTCATCTCTGGGCTCCTCCCCCTTCACTGTGTCATCTCTGGGCTCCTCCCCATCACTGTGTCATCTCTGGGCTCCTCCCCCATCACTGTGTCATCTCTGGGCTCCTCCCCCATCACTGTGTCATCTCTGGGCTCCTCCCCCATCACTGCATCATCTCTGGGCTCCTCCCCATCACTGTGTCATCTCTGGGCTCCTCTCCCATCACTGCATCATCTCTGGGCTCCTCTCCCATCACTGCATCATCTCTGGGCTCCTCTCCCATCACTGCATCATCTCTGGGCTCCTCCCCATCACTGTCATCTCTGGGCTCCTCCCCCATCACTGCATCATCTCCGGGCTCCTCCCCCATCACTGTCATCTCTGGGCTCCTCCCCCATCACTGCATCATCTCTGGGCTCCTCCCCCATCACTGGGTCATCTCTGGGCTCCTCCCCATCACTGTGTCATCTCTGGGCTCCTCCCCATCACTGTGTCATCTCTGGGCTCCTCCCCCATCACTGCATCATCTCCGGGCTCCTCCCCCATCACTGCATCATCTCTGGGCTCCTCCCCATCACTGTCATCTCTGGGCTCCTCCCCCATCACTGTCATCTCTGGGCTCCTCCCCCATCACTGTGTCATCTCTGGGCTCCTCCCCCATCACTGTCATCTCTGGGCTCCTCCCCCATCACTGTGTCATCTCTGGGCTCCTCCCCCATCACTGCATCATCTCTGGGCTCCTCCCCATCACTGTGTCATCTCCGGGCTCCTCCCCCATCATTGCATCATCTCCGGGCTCCTCCCCCATCACTAGATACAGAAAATACAAACGTTGGATTCCTCATATATAATGCACCTTATGGGACCCGAGAATCATCCGACTATAAATGAAATCTACACTTTGCTGTACGATATGTATTCCTTGTATGGATCGCTGTATGCAAATGTCCGAGCAGCCAATCAGGCATCTGCTTTCCTGGCCCTGCGTCTGATTGGCTGCTGTGTGTTTCTTATAATAAACGTATTTTTATTAGATAAGGAAATGGTTTGTTTTACTGGAAATGATTATTGGTGACACCAGAATGGGGAGTCCCGCCTATCGCGACAGGCTGTAACTAATGACATTGGCCACTAGGTGGTGCAGAGAGCTCAGGAAACTTTCTGTTCTCTAAATCAGTGATCTCCAAACGGCAGCCCAGGGGCCGGATGTGGCCCTTTCCTTTTATCTGGCAATTGGGGTGCTTTTCCTCCCACTGACACCAACCATTGGACACTATTCCTCCCACTGACACCAATGATGGGGCACTATTCCTCCCACTGACACCAATGATGGGACACTATTCCTCCCACTGATACTAATGATGGGGCACTATTCCTCCCACTGATACTAATGATGGGGCACTATTCCTCCCACTGACACCAATGATGGGGCACTATTCCTCCCACTGACACCAATGATGGGGCACTATTCCTCCCACTGACACCAATGATGGGGCACTATTCCTGCCACTGACACCAATGATGGGGCACTATTCCTCCCACTGACACCAATGATGGGGCACTATTCCTCCCACTGACACCAATGATGGGGCACTATTCCTGCCACTGACACCAATGATGGGGCACTATTCCTCCCACTGACACCAATGATGGGGCACTATTCCTG